TGTATCTGTGCCTGTGTGTGTATCTGTGCCTGTGTATGTCTGTGCCTGTGTGTGTGATTGTGTGTGTGTATCTGTGCCTGTGTGTGTATCTGTGCCTGTGTATGTCTGTGTCTGTGTGTGTGATTGTGTGTGTGTATCTGTGCCTGTGTGTGTGATTGTGTGTGTGTATCTGTGCCTGTGTGTGTGATTGTGTGTGTGTATCTGTGCCTGTGTATGTCTGTGCCTGTGTGTGTGATTGTGTGTGTGTATCCGTGCCTGTGTGTGATTGTGTGTGTGTATCTGTGCCTGTGTATGTCTGTGTCTGTGTGTGTGATTGTGTGTGTGTATCTGTGCCTGTGTGTGTGATTGTGTGTGTGTATCTGTGCCTGTGTGTGATTGTGTGTGTGTATCTGTGCCTGTGTGTGTATCTGTGCCTGTGTGTGATTGTGTGTGTGTATCTGTGCCTGTGTCTGTGTATATCTGTCTGTGTCTGTCTCTGTGTGTGGGAGCTGCCAGGGCAGGGCTGGAGCTGCTTCCTGCTGCCCCGGGGCTTGGCTGGAGCCCAGCACCGCTGTTTGGGTGAGGGAAGGAGCTGCTCTGCCCCAAACCACTCCTCTGGCTGTATCAGGGCTCTGCTCTGGCTGTTGACACAGTGCTGATGTCAGGAAACATGACACAGAGGGCAGGGGACCATTTTCACTTGCAGTCTGATCTGGCTGCAGTTTCCCAGTCAGTGTAATCCAATCATAAATTACGTGTATATTGATTATTTGCTTTGTTCTTGCACGTTTTACAGCAACTACTGTGCTGCTTTGTTTAATTACACAAATGTTTTTGCGAGCTTTGGATTGAAAATATAAAGGTGATTCTTGATTTAATTTAAATGGTAACTGCTCATTCATTAATCATGCTTCTGTTTCCAAAATTATTTTTATTCTGGGATTGCTCATGCTTAGCTACAATCTAGATGAGGATTATTTTGGAATTGTAGAGCATACCCATGCAGCCGTTTTTCCTGATCACTGAGGTGTGGATATCATGGTGTAAGCAAATAATATCCTTTGTGCTTCAATGATCTTCAGGCTGGATTTCAAATTTCTGCAAGATGTGCAGGCTTTATTGCATTTCACACCAAAATCTTTTAGAAATAGCCCTGAACAAGCTCGACTCTCACACTGAGGATGTGTATTGAATATTGATTTAGCTGCCCATGTTGTGTGCATATAAACATTTATCTGTGGAGGTCTTGAACAGTCACAGAAGATATTCCCCAAGATGGCAGGAGGTGTGCAAGCATAATTCTGGAGCTGTGTCTCTAATTCAGGATTTCTTGTGCCCTAGAGAATGAACACGATTTCAAAGTGCTTTTCAGAATGCAACAGAGGTTGCCAGAGTTGATGTGGTCTTTATCATGTGTGTTGAAAAGATCTCTCAGAAAACATTCAACTACAGCTACCAGCATTCTTTAACATACCTCGGCCTACATCATCAAAATCAGAAAATGCACCAGTTGTTCCCAGCAGAGCCTGGGGAAGCAGATTGTTCACCAGAACAGAAATAAGGAGTTGTGGTTCCCAGAGCAATCAAAATATGGCCATTTTGTATTTCAGATGGGGGCACAGAGATGCCACAGTGCCCAGGACTCCTCCTGCTGAAGCGAAGTTGATGAGGAAACAGTTAATTCCTGCTCAGTTTTGCAGTGAGTGTCCACACCCACCAGATGGAGCTTCGGGCTCCAGTGGAAAATTCCAGAAATTGAGCAAGAATGAGAAGTGTGTGAATGACTTAGGAGATCCCTGTCTGCAGAACTGCAAAAGGTGGTTTTATAGCCTTTAAATAAAGAATGAATGGAGACTGAGGCATGCCAGCCTTTCTGATTCCTTTCACTACAACTGCCTTCCATAGTTCTTCCTTGGATGGGAAGTTGGGAGTTCTTAATGCAAAAGTCAAGCTGAGGCTAGGCAGCAAGCCCAAACAAAAAGGTATAAACCAGAGTTTCATAAACCTTTACTGAAAATTGCCTGTAACCACTGAAACAGGATGTTAAACGTTCTTAGTCTCAGAATTTCCTCCCCAGATAAGGTGGGGTTTTCTTTAGTACCACATTTTAGATGGACTTCTCTCCTGAGGCCGTGTTTGTGTAGGATGCCCTGAGAAGTGGTGTGAAATGGTCCTTTTGATTTTACACACAACTTGAAACTGGTTTTGGAAGTTGCTGATCTAGTCTCTGAAGTGGTTTTTAGTATTTTTAAATCCTTGGCTTTTTGACAGAGAGGCTGTTAACAAGCTGCCTGTGTGCCTGTGAGGGGGAGCTGGAGTGTGTCAGGTCTTACAGTGCTTTGTCCAGGTAGCAGCTTGCAGCTGGGGGTTTCCATCAGGGTGATATCCTCAGCTTTAGAGCTGGGGTTTGCAGAGGGTGGCACTTAGGGTTTGTGTTGATTCCTGTTGTGGGTACACACCTGAGCAGGAGGGCTGGGGCTCACTCAGAGCAGGGGGCGCTGGCTCTGCACCCCAAATCGCTGCTGTGGCTGAGCTGTGAGCCTGGAGCCCTCCCTGCTCTGGGCAGAGCTCCCTGCTGCAGGGACTGAGGAGGGCTCTCAGCTGGAAGTGTCGCTGCTGTTACCAAACAGCCTCCTCGGGATTACAGCGCATTGCACAGGAGCCCTCCTTGTCTGGCATTTCAGATGTGCTGCTGAACAAATCTCATTACCCTCACAGGAGTGTGGGTGCACAGCCCTCACTAAACCAGGCCAGAAATGCTTCAAGAAGGAGGGAAGAGTCCCAGGGAAGAAAGTGAAAATGCTCAGTGTCAGCCAGTGAGAGGTGTGTTGGAAGAGACTCTTCAATCACTCTCTGTACAGGGAGCAGAGAGAGTTAATTGCAACTCTTGCTTTCAGGAGGGCTCTCAGTAGTTTCTGTTCTCCCAAATTCTCTCTTCTCTCTGATACTTCTATTCCTTTTTTCTGATACTTCTATTCCAGTTGCTCACTCTTCCCTGAGATAACCCTTGTGCTTCCCGTCTGTCACTGGTCCTTGCTCAGCTGTCCTGGAATTGTCAGGTCTCAGGGACAGGCCCTCGCTGTCCTCATGTGAATATAGAATATTCTACACCATCACACCACCGAGCATCATTTAACCTGCATACACGGAAAGGCAGCTTCTCTGTTGCTGTGGGAACCACAGGTTCATTTTCTTGCATATTTTCCCTGTATTTTAAGAGATTTCACTCAGTGTTGCACTACCAGCTTTCTCTGCAAATCTATTTCATGGCTGGCTTCTAGAGCAGGCTATGAAAGGCAGTTTGCTGGGCAAATTGTTAAAAGTTACCTTGTTTCAAATGCAGCTGGAGTAGGGAAATAAAACACACAGTATCAAGAAACCAAGTCTTGTTTTATCTTGCCCAGGAAGACGGAGCTGCTGCCACCTCTGATGCATGATTCTGTCTTGGGCTGTTAGGTATAAACCAGTAACTTCTTCAGCTTGAAATACTGGCAAAATAGTGGCTAAAATCAAAGACATTTGGATGACATAACATAAGAAGCATGCCAGGTACTCGGGGATCCTTGTCAGCAGCACAGCACAGGGAAATGATCCTCGGTGTCTGGGAGACCCAGCATGGGATGAAGTACTTCCCTGAGCTCACTATCATCAGCCTGATGCAGTAATTGCCACTGATCTGCTCTCGAGGCTGATGGGTCCTCACCCAGAAGTGTGTTTGCTGCAGGGAGGACTCCCTGGGAGAGAGCTCATTTGGACTTGCTGGACACACAGGGACGCCTTCTGGTCAGAAAATGATCCACTGTGAAACAAAATAACGCATCTTTGTGTGCCTGAGGGTATGGGCGATGCTCTTGTTAAATAAAGCACGTGCACTATTCCAGTATTCAGGTTTGCTGCCATGTGAAGTATTTTAAAAATGTTGTCTTTTTTAATTTCTTAAAATGTTGTAGTGTCTTTTCTTGGAAGTGTACTTGCCAAAGAAAAGCACTCTGTACTTGAGGCTGTTCTGTCTGAGTAATCAAGAGATTAAAATCTCACAATTTATATTGCCTTACTCCCTGGCAGAGTAATTATTAATGACTCAACAAGTTTTGCTTTTATAAACTTTAGATTTGGTAGTTTCAGATTTTATGGTTCTAACGGTACCGGTTGTGTTTCCACTATGTGCAAGCCTGACTTTCTGTCCGTGGCTGATGTCAGTTGAACAGTCTTCCCACAAAGTGTGATCATTTACATGCCATTTCCCCAACTGCCCATCCTCTGCCAGTGTTAATCTGAGTGCTTACCAGAGGAATGTGTGTCCTGGGGCTGTGGCTGGAGGCCATGTCACCTGTTGGATGTCCCATTGTCATGTAAGGTGGGACCTGTTTGTAGGGAGCCTCCCAGGGAGTGTCCGAGGGTGGTGGCAGTGTCCCAGGATGGTGGCAGTGCCCGAGGGTGGCGGCAGTGTCAGATGGAGATGGTGGCAGTATCGGATGGATGATGGTGGCAGTGTCCCAGGATGGTGGCAGTGCCCGAGGGTGGCAGCAGTGTCGGATGGAGATGGTGGCAGTATCGGATGGATGATGGTGGCAGTGTCCCAGGGTGGTGGCAGTGCCCGAGGGTGGCGGCAGTGTCCCAGGATGGAGATGGTGGCAGTGTCGGATGGAGATGGTGGCAGTGTCCCAGGGTGGTGGCAGTGCCCGAGGGTGGCGGCAGTGTCCCTGAGGGGCCAGGCTCAGCTGTGCTGTGCTGCTGATGCCCCAGGTGCTCACGGGGCGCTGCACAGGGGGTTGGAGTGTGAGGAGGAGCGTTCCCAGCCTCTGCCCTGCTGGGTTTGTGGCGCTGGGTACCTGAGCTGAAACCTGAGCGCTGCAGAGTCCCCAGCACAATCGGCACAAACCTGGAGCACAAGCGTGCTCAGACCTGCTGCAGCACAGCTGCCCTGCAGCCCCGGCACAGGCACGGCTGCGGTGTGTAGCTGTCAGTGTGACACTGCCCTTATCACGCCTCTTATCTCTGCTCTCTGTTTTGTCCAGCAGGATATGAGTCTTCCTCTGTGCCCGGGCCTTGGGCTCCCCCAGGGGGTGTAACAGAGCCCCGAGGGGGCGTTCTGCAACGAGAATTGGCTTTGGAGGCTTGTGCTTGAAGCTTGTCCAATGAGTCTGAGACGCCCAAGCACCATTCATTTTGGAGGTAAATGCCTCGTCAGAAGTGCTGCAGAGATGGGGAGGAGTAAAGGTTTTCATTTGCCAAAGTATGGGCTAAAAAAGGATAGTTTTGACTGTTTGCTTCTGAGGTTTGGACATGTTGAACTTAAAGGAACACCAACTTGGATTCTAGAAAAACTGAGAGGTTGGGGGCTTTGGGATCAATCACTCTGGCAGCTTCACTGCAGATTAATTGGTTTCCTGGTTTAAAATTCTCACTCTTCTGCCGGTTTAAAACCATCAGAGGTGAAAGTGAAAGCTAGTTTAGTCTGCAAGAGAGATGATTCTGGAATGCTGAACAAACTGGGGGAAACGCTCTGACTTGGGATAGGAAAGTTCAAAGATCTGCAATTTAAGTTGGATGTCCCTTTAAGTTATTCCTTGGAATATGACATTACTTATTTGAATCTCAAGTGAAATGTTTAATTTTGGAAATTCAGCTGAAATGCTTTTTATTAAGGTATTTTCTATCATTTGTCTATAAACTGATCAGTCAAAGTGGGCTATATAAAGGGAGGGGAGGGGAGAATCCTGTGAAAAGATAAAACCAAAGGGGGAAAAGCTCCCAGCAGCAGAAACAAATGAAAGAAAATACAACAATGACAGATTGAAATGTTGCTGCTTGCCTTGGGTGGGGGAGGGAAAATCATTTGCATGATGTGTTTCGTGTTATTGTTATTGAAATTGAACCAGGTTACTGATAAAATTGTAATGATAATGTACACTTACAAAGATAATGAGTTAAGTTTGCTCTAGTAAACAGCAGTAATGTCCTGGCACCCAGCCCACAGAGAACTGAAACTGTGGTGCAGATTTGCAGTGGCTGGGTGGCACTGAGGGTGTGATCCTGGGCTCCCGTTGCTTTTTGATTTTAATGCCAACTGTTACTGAGAAATATTTAATACCCAAACCCAGGCTGTCTGGTAGAGAGCTACCCACCCTTTTAATGAAGTCATTTTTAGCATAATCGGAATTTTATGTATTAGTGTGTTACCACACTGCATGAATTTTTTTATTATGGTGTTTGACTCTGCTGCAGCCCTTCCCTTTTAGCATTATTATGGATATTAATAAATTTGGGGTTGAATTGTTGGAATGAAAGCCATGGGATCGTGATACAGACCTAACAAAGGCAATAGACCAGAGTAGAGGGTTAAAGTGTGTGGGGTGGGATGTATTGTAGGGGAAAGGAACAGCTTTTAGAATAAGGGTTTGAAACATTGCTTTTTCTGTAGGAAAAAGATGGAGTATTGCATGCTGGGAACAAGTGCTTTCCATAAGGTAGCTAAATTTTAAAAGTACATTTGTTTCATTTTGTTTTAGGCTTTGCTTAAGTATTGTAATCTAGTAATTTTGTCATTTCTGCAGTTTTCATTTTGATTAGACCTCTGCAAATCTTTCTTCAAAACTTAACAAAAACCCAACCAAAGAACTCAAACCTGGCCTGCAACTGCAATTTTCCTTTTCTGAAACATTGCTCAGTGTGTACAGAAAAATATTTAAATGTTATCAATAATGATACAAATTCTTCCATGATTTCAAAATTGCAGGTACTAACACTTTTACATTTGAAAATGTGAATGTGTTGGGTGACTACGGAGAAATGACCAAAAGTAAATACAGTTTGTTAAATGTAGTCTCCATTGACACCTCTCTAGAAACAAAATGCCCCAAGCCTCAAAACACCAGCCCCGAGAAGCCCCACCCCTCAGGAATGCTGTCAGCAGAAACTCCAAGTAAATAGTCTCATTTTTTTCCCTTTGTTCCTGTGAATAGCAAGACATAACACACTTGGAGGAAGTCTGGGTAGATGAGTCAGGACTTATTTCATTAACTGCAGTTAAATGTTTTGGCCAGGTTTCCCCAGGAAACAAAGCTTACACAATTTTTCAGATTGTGGCTTGTCTCCTAATCCCCCTTCCCTCCTCCCAGCCAAGAGAGCCATTTTCACCCAAACTGGGTGGAGTTGGAGGTCTGGAAAGAAAAATTAGCACCTTTAAATTGGATTAAATGCATCCCTCCAGGAAGAGAGGGGCGCTGGTTTGAAGGTCCCCAAGGTCACACCTCTGTCCACCCACAGCCTGTCCCTCAGCGGGAGCAGCAAAGCCGAGGGGCTGCCAGAGGCTCTGGGGGAGGAGGAGCTGCAGGGAGGGGACAGAAATGCCACTGCCACTGCTCAGCCGGGATTCCTGGGGTCACTGAGGTGCCCCTGGGGCTGGCCCGGCCTGGCCTGGCCCAGCTTGGCGAGCCCGGGCTCAGGAGGGAAGAGGAGGAGCAGGGCATTGAGCAGGGCATTGCCTGGGTGTGAGGTGTGGAGCTCCAGGTGAGCTGTGGTGCCTGAGTGCGTGTTCAGAGTGCATCATTCCATGGATACGATGTTATTGCAGGTACAGCAGCAGCTCATGATGCCCCGTAAAGCTTTTCTTTCCCAGAAAGAAAAGCAGGCTCGTGCCAGGGAAAGGGATATGTTAAAAAAGAGGAGGAGGCGACAAGACTATCTCAAAAGAAGCGTGGAGCCGCAGAAAAATGCAGAAACAATAAAATGGCACAGGGATGATGAGAAGAGGAGAGAAAATGAGCAAGTTAAGGACAAAGATATCAAGAAGCGGTGGAGACAGGATGAGAGAGAACGACGAAAGAATGTGGACGCTATGAATTGGCACAGGGAAGAGGAGAAATGGGAAAATGAGCGAGGTAAGGACCAAGGAGGCCAAGAACCAGCCAAGAAAGGAGAGGGGGAAGGAGCACAGAAAGGCTGGACCTTGTGAAGCAGCACAGCACGATGAGGGGGAGAGGGGAAAACAGAGTAAGAGCAGTTGTGTTTTATAAGCATGCACAGAAATAACAGCAAATAGTATTGTTTATTTCAAAATTGGTTAAAATCTGCTTTAATGAACTAGAGCTCTTACACTGCTGATTATTTTAGAAAGACAAGATTGAGCTGAGTCACGATGGGACAGAACAGGCTGGGGTTGTACCTTGCTAATACAAATGTCTGTGTTGCACACTTGTTCACACTTAATGCTTTGTTCAACAGGGTGGTTGGTAATTCTGGTTGTCAGTCAGATCACCAAAAAGTTCATGTTTTCTCAGTTTTCATAGTAGGAATAAATGAGAACATTAGGAAGGGAAGGGTGAACCTCGTGTGCTCATAAGAGAAATTAAAATTGATGCTATATTTCGTTCTTTTTAATCATGTACAAGAGGGTTGAAATCACATCTGCAGTTTTATCCCGAGGTCACTTATTTAGTGAAAATTGAATGGAAGTGTAAATTTCATGGAATGCTTTTAAGAAACATTCAGCTCAAGAGATAAAATGAAGAAATTAGAAGACATTAAGAAGAAATTCTTCCCTATGAGCCCCTGCCAGAGGTATCCCAGGGAAGCTGTGGCTGCCCCATGCCTGGAAGTGTCCAGGGCCGGGTTGGATGGGGCTTGGAGCAACCTGGGATAGTGGAAGGTGTCCCTGCCCATGGCAGGGGGGAACTGGATGGGCTTTAATGTCCCTTCCCACCCAGGCCATCCCATGGTGATCCAAGAAGAAATTACCTTAGTGCAGGAGGGGTAGCTGGAGTGGCCTCCTGAAGAGCCCTGGCCAGCTCGTACAGGTGTGGGTGCCTGAACAAGATAAAAGGCTTATTTCTGGCTGCAAAGCACTGTTTTACTCTGCAGCCTGTGACAGCAGAAAGCCATTCTACCAAATGCTGAGACATCAACCAAGTGCAGTGCTGGGGCTGAGATCAGAGGGAGGGCTCTGTGCAGTGGCGCAAGAATGCAGTCAAGAAAACATTCCCTGTTGCAAATGTGAAGTGAGAGCTTAGAGTGTGCTGCTTCTAAGTTAGTTATCTTCTGCTCTTTCATAGCTTGTCTTTTCTGTTTGCATTTGGCTACTGAATCGTTCTAGGAGTCAGTACCTGGTTGTGGACAGGACCTTTATGCTGGAAACTGCACGGACAGAGCAAAGGAAGGTTCCAGATACTGCTCACAGTCCCTGTGCTTCCTTTGCCATTCCCTTGTGGCTGGTGCAGCCAGTTTGTGTACACACACGCTGGACATGAGAGAGAGCTTTGGGATATGCCTTCTGAGGCACCTGAGGATCCTACCTGGAGATTTCTAGTCAGGGTGTTGCTGGGGTTGGTTTTAAGCAGTCATTTATTCATTCCACCCAGCACTTCAGTGTAGGTTGATGTGGTCAGAGATGCTCCAGGTGTCTTCCCTTAAACATCAGCTTTTGGGCAGATAAAGGATGCCTCATTTCCAGGGCAGCATTAATGCCTAGATGATGATTTGAGAGGCTGCTTAATCCCAGCTGCTTTTATGTCCCCATCCAAGGAGGTGCCAGCAGAGTGATGTTTACATTACAGCTGCAGTTACTTGCTGTAAATAGAAATGGATGGAGATGCTAAAAGCTTTTGTTGTAGTCACAGCCTGTAATAGTATCAGACTGTATCTGACTCTCCACTCACTAAGATTAAATAGTCAGACATTTCCTAAATAAAATTAACTGTGTATGCCTAAGGATGAGGGGTTTTGTTACAATGAGGTGAGTTGGATTCAGCTGCCCAGCAGAACTTGCAAAGTAAGGTTGATGTAAAATGCTGGAGTTTGAAAGTTGAGGTTTCAGGTGTGAAGATCCAACTGTGTCCTCTGCTATGGTGGGTGGTGATAGGTAGTTCCAGGGAATTTCATGTCTTTAAAATTTGACTGAGGCGGGCAAAGGGCAGAGTCAAGAAGATGCTGCGGATAGACCAGAGATGTTGTTTTCAGGCAGTTGGAAATAATTTGCTTTCTTTGAGTTTCTGTATGTCGTGGTACCTGTGGCCTGTTCAGCTGTATCAGATACAGGATTAAGTGAAAGCATTTGATGCCTTTGCTGAAGAAGTTCAGTGGCATTTTGAAATTAGCCGTTAGATACCAAGCAGCATTTTGAGACTTGTGGCTGACTCAGGTGTACAAGTGATCAGTGCCTACAGACAAGCTCTGCACTGGCTCTAGCTGTGTCATGGGACAAGAAGTGCTTTTCTTTGCAAGCACAGGGCTTCACTCTTCAGGTGGGCACTTGGGATTCAAAGAAGGCAGCCCAGATTGCCAGGAACTTTAACATGCACTATGTTCATGCACTGCTCTTTCTGCAGTTCATATTAATCACTAGGAATAACATTTCTTATTATCTCCTGGGATTTGAAATTCACTTGAAAATATTAATTCAAATCCTGACCATACTTGACTGAGCTGCTTCGCTGATTTTTTTCTGAGACATGGGATCATGCAGTCACTGTAGGTATTTCTGAAGCACTGAAATCACTCTTCATGTCTTTAAAAGGGACCTGGCTTGCTCTAGGTTGTATTAGACACTGTTTTTCCAGTAGAGATGAGGATGGATAGAGCATAGGAGAAGAGCAGTTCATGAGTTGGGTTCCCTCTCAGCGGGACCCGCCAGGCCCAGTGGGCACTGATGGGAGGGAGGCTGACAGTTCCCAGGGACACAGAGAGGTTTAGGCCATCTCCTGGACTTTTCCCAGTGGTTTCTCTCTCTGGAGGGATCTGACCAAGCTTTCAGGTCCTCTCTTCCTAGGAGAGTGTTTGCTAAAGAGCTTCAGCCAGTTAAAGCTCTGACTACAGTGGAGGGAGGAAACAGCATTAATTTCTTACCCTACCTACAGCAGAATACAAGAAGCATCTTTATCACTGAAGAGACACTGAAATCTCTTGCAAGACTGGCACAAACCTTGGAGCTCAGCTTGCCAGTTTTCAGATCAGTTGGGATACATTGCACAGGAGGGAATTGAGTTCTGAAGTACTTCAGTGTAGGACTGGTAAAGACAGACACTCTGAAGAAATGAAAGTTATTTCCAGAGGCAGCCTGTTGCTCCTGCAGTAGCTGTTCCCTCAGTGTGCTGCCCTTTCAGCAGTGCCCTGGGCAGCCTCAGCAAGGAACAAGCCAGAGAATGTAACAGTGTGTTAGGGAATGGCACAGCTCTGGCACCAGTTCTGTGGGGGAATAAGGCAGTTAATTACTGATAATGAAAAGTGCAGCATTATCAAACAAAACACATTTGAGTTAAACCTTTCTCTTGCTCTTCTTTTTCAATAGAAACTATGTTCCAACTTCCTGTCAACAACCTTGGCAGTTTAAGAAAGGCCCGGAAAACTGTGAAAAAAATACTTAGTGACATTGGTTTGGAGTACTGTAAAGAACATATAGAAGTAAGTATGGCACCTCCAAGGGTTAGAGCTAAAATGCTGCAGAGTCAGGGGGACGGGGAGGTATTTGTGTACGCCGTGATTTTTGTTTAGACTCGTTTTAAGTTCCACGCAAAGTAGGAGTTATTTAGAAACTTGAGATATAATGTGCCTGTAAACACTTCTAGAAACATTAGTGGCTACTGAAACCCAGGAATGCTGGAAGAAGCAGGATGGGTGTGGGATATTGGGGCAGAAATGGGTCTGAGCTTTTCAGGAAGTGTTTGTGCTGCAGCAGGTCCTGAAGTTACAGAATCACCTCTGTGCCTGGGTCAGGCTGACTTCATGCCTGAGCGAAATGCCAAAGAAATGCTTCATAAGATAATTTTTAAAATAAGAATTAGGAGTCTTGGACATCACCCATGTCCAACTTTAAAAGCTTCCTGTGTGAAATTAATTAAAAGCCAAACAAAACCAATCAAACAAAATAAATACCATACCACCAACCTCAGAAAAAGCAGCCAAAAAACCCTAAAGCCACACATCAGTTTGGGAATGCTTTTCTCCAGGATTGCTTTTGGAATGAGATGAGTTTGTAATGACAGTGTAGGCTGGTCAGGAGGATGAGTGGTGAAGATGTTCTGCAGGTGTTTTGTGATATGGAGAATATTCAGAGCTCTCCCCCTCCCAGGAGGTGCTCTCCAAACTCCCCACTGTCCTGGGTGATGGTCTCTGCCTTGGCCAGCAGCACCTGGGAGGGTGCAGGGGTGCTCAGGGATTGCTGAAGGGAGCCCTTGGGCCTTGCTTCTGACTCTCTGTCCTCTCTTCCCATCTTCCTTTCTCCAGGATTTTAAGCAGTTTGAACCTAATGACTTTTATTTGAAAAACACTACATGGGAGGATGTGGGACTGTGGGACCCATCGCTTACAAAAAACCAGGTTGGTAAGAGTTTCACTTGACACTGAGGCTGGAGTGGGTCATGCTGAAGGGCATTTCCCAGACATGCCAAGAGCTTTTCCTGCAGTTTTCCTTACTGATTTTCAGGTGTTGGCAGCTCAAGGGGCAGCAAAAAGCTATGTGCTTTTTTTCTTACTTTTGTGTAATTGTTCCTGGTGTGTGTCTCAGGGTCCTGGGTGGCCAGTGCTGCAGAGCTGGTGGGTCCTTGCTCAAGTCAAACAGCTGCACCTTCGGAGCCCATTCCCACCTGTTCCCAAGCCTAGCACAATTTCACCAGCCCTCTGGCCAAAGGATCAACAACTTTATACAATTGGCAATGGGTCTTTCACCTTTCCTTAGATGTTTTATTCCTGGTTTCCATCCCTTCCAAAGCTGTTTCCCTGGATGCTGCTGCTTAGTGCAGGGTCACTGTCAGTGCAGCTCTGGGTCCCACAGGCTGTGTCCCACATCTGCTTTGGGCATTTCTAGTTCTGCTCAGCAGCTCAGTGGCACTGCAAGTCCTTCTGAGCCAGTAATACAGGAATTTTGAGTTGAGCCAGCACTGGAGGGAGGAGATGATGCTGTTGATTCAAGCAAGTGGTGTGGGCTGCAGCATCCTCTGCTGGGGCTGCAGGACAGAGTCATCCCAGCAGTGAGAGGTCAGAAACCTCTCTATAAAGGAATCCCTGTGTGAGCACCTCAGAGCTCAAGTAGAGGAAACTGGGACCCATCCTGTCATGGATTCCTACTGTGAATCTGAAAATTACCATTTAGTACTGTCTTGCATAAAATACACTGATGTCCCTTTTTCTAGGTAACCCAGAATAAAAATTGTAATATAAGAGGAGACAGCTTTTGGTTGTTTTTTTTTGTTGGAGCCAGTTTCCACCAGGTGTGTGAGGCTTCAGCAGGTGGCCAGAGCAGATACTCCGGCTTCCTTCTATAGTGCAGCTCTCCAGCTCCCTCACCTGTGACCTGTGTGTAGCTCGGTGCACAGGACTTGTTCTGACACTCAGGAGGAATCTGTGCTATTGAAGCGTATAATGGATAAAGACACTGAAATAGCTGAAGTTCTAGATCCATATTACATCTATCAAGTTTGGCAGATTCAGGTGGGCAGTATCTCATCTGGATACAGTCTCATTTCCTCAAACAGTCCTGCTTGGCTTTCCCCTAGAGAGGAGCTCACAAGGACCTTTTCTTGCAGCTCAGCTGCAGGGAGGAGGCTTTTTGTGACCAGTAGGGAAAGACACTTCTGACTCAGCCTCACCTGCCGGGGTCATGGCTAAACCCCTGAGGGACCCCTTGGCACTCAACACATCATGCGTGTGTTCATGTGAGCAGCTTTTTAGGGGCTGATGCAGGCCAGAAATGGGAGAGAAGTGAATTGAAGGTTTGAGGCAGTTGCAGGGGACTTGTGAGTGTGTTCAGAAAGGTTGTGTAGAGAATACCATGGGTGTTATTTTGCTGAGAAGTGCAGTTGAATGTTTAGTCTGTGCTCTGTTCTCTGTTCAAGGACTATCGGACAAAGCCCTTTTGCTGCAGTGCATGTCCCTTCTCCTCGAAGTTCTTTTCAGCCTACAAAAGCCACTTCCGGAATGTTCACAGCGAAGACTTTGAGAACAGGATCCTGCTCAACTGCCCCTACTGTACCTTCAACGCGGACAAAAAGACTTTGGAAACGCACATTAAAATATTCCATGCTCCCAATGCCAGTACACCGAGTGGAGGCATCAGCACTTTCAAAGATAAAAACAAACACGAGAGCCTTAAACCCAAGCAGGCTGACAGTGTGGAACAAGCTGTTTATTACTGTAAGAAGTGCACTTACCGTGACCCGCTCTACGAAATCGTTCGAAAGCACATTTACAGGGAACATTTTCAGCACGTTGCTGCTCCTTACGTAGCCAAGGGAGGCGAAAAGTCCCTCAATGGTGCAGTTCCGTTGAGCTCCGGTGCCCGAGAGGAGGGGGGTATCCACTGCAAACGATGCCTTTTCATGCCGAAATCCTACGAAGCTTTAGTCCAGCACGTGATCGAAGACCACGAGCGGATCGGGTACCAGGTCACGGCAATGATAGGTCACACCAACGTAGTGGTTCCCAGATCCAAACCTTTGATGCTAATAGCTCCCAAACCCCAGGATAAAAAGCCTATGGGACTCCCTCAGAGGATGGGTGCCCTGTCTGCTGGCAGCGTCCGCTCGCTCTCGTCGCAGCAGATGATGAACAGACTCACTATACCAAAGCCCACGTTAAACTCTGCAGGAGTCAATATGATGTCAAACGTTCACCTACAGCAGAACAATTACGGGGTTAAATCAGTTCCCCCCAGTTACGTTGGTCAGCCAGGGGGGAGGCTCAGCCTCGGTGGCAATGCAGCTGTTTCTCTTTCCCAACAATCACAAAGCATGAAACAGTTTTCAGCGAGTGGCAACGGAAGGCCTTACACTCTGGGAGGGGAGCAGAGGTCCCAGGCCTCAGCCAGGTACTCGCTGCAGTCTGCCAACTCCTCCTCACTGTCGTCGGCACAGCTCAAGCAGGCGTCGCTGTCGCAGTCCCAGGCATCCAGAGCTCTGGGGCAGTCTGGCTCCAAATCCCCCGTGGCTGCTACAGGTCCTTCCACTGTCAACACCTCGTCCACGCAGAAGTGGAAAATCTGTACAATCTGCAATGAGCTGTTCCCCGAAAACGTGTACAGCGTCCACTTTGAGAAGGAGCACAAGGCCGAGAAGGTCCCTGCGGTGGCCAACTACATCATGAAAATCCACAACTTCACGAGCAAATGTCTCTACTGTAACCGCTACCTGCCCACGGACACGCTGCTCAATCACATGCTGATCCACGGGCTCTCCTGCCCCTACTGCCGCTCCACCTTCAACGACGTGGAGAAGATGGCTGCCCACATGCGCATGGTGCACGTGGACGAGGAGATGGGACCTAAAACTGACTCCACCCTCACCTTTGATTTGACATTGCAGCAGGGCAGCCACACGAACATACACCTCCTCGTCACCACCTACAACCTGCGGGATGCTCCTGCCGAATCCGTAGCTTACCACGCTCAGAACACCCCCCCGGTCCCCCCGAAACCGCAGCCCAAAATCCAGGAGAAATCCGACGTACCCGTCAAAAGTTCTCCGCAAGCGGCAGTGCCCTACAAAAAAGATGTGGGGAAAACTCTGTGTCCTCTGTGCTTTTCGATCCTAAAAGGCCCCATCTCCGACGCGCTGGCGCATCACCTCCGGGAGAGGCACCAGGTGATTCAGACGGTTCACCCCGTGGAGAAGAAGCTGACCTACAAGTGCATCCACTGCCTGGGCGTGTACACGAGCAACATGACGGCCTCCACCATAACGCTGCACCTGGTGCACTGCAGGGGCGTGGGCAAGACCCAGAACGGGCAGGACAAAGGGACCTCGTCCCGCCTGGGCCAGTCCCCCGCGGCCGCGCCGCTGAAACGCGCCTACGAGCACATGGAGTTCCCCCTGATGAAGAAGAGGAAGATGGACGACGATGACTCCCCCTCTGCCTTTGAGGAGAAGCCTGAAGAACCTGTAGTTCTAGCACTGGACCCCAAGGGTCACGAAGATGATTCGTACGAAGCCAGGAAAACGTTTCTTACAAAATATTTCAATAAGCAGCCCTACCCCACTCGGAGAGAGATCGAGAAGCTGGCGGCCAGTTTGTGGCTCTGGAAATCTGACATCGCGTCTCACTTCAGCAACAAAAGGAAGAAATGTGTCAGGGATTGTGAAAAATACAAACCTGGGGTGCTGCTGGGCTTCAACATGAAAGAGCTGAACAAAGTCAAACACGAGATGGATTTTGATGCCGAGTGGCTGTTTGAAAACCACGACGAGAAGAATTCCAGGGTCAATGTCAGTAAGACTGTTGATAAAAAAATCAGCTTAGAAAAAGACAATGACAGTTCCTCAGACAGCTACGAAAACCTAGAGGAGGAATACAGCGAGAGCCGCAGTCCCTTTGGCCAGCGTGTGTCTGACATGGGTGGGAAACCCTCGACAGACAGCACAGTGCAGGACCCCCAGGACAGCTTAGCCAAGGAAATCCTGGAGGAAAACGCACTACAGTCTCCAGAGAAGGCTGAGCAAAAACAAGAGGAAAGCTCTAAATACGAAGAGATAATGGCTGCTGAAGAGCCCACAAAACTGGTGGGTGACGTTTCGGATAGCGAAGGTGATCAGGATGAGCAGGAAGATGCAGTGGAGTGGAAGGATGGAGCTTCCCAGTCTGAAAGCGGGCCTGGCTCCCAGCAGGTTTCAGATTTTGAAGATAACGCATTGGAGGTAAAACCAGAAGTGTGGACAGATGAATCTTCCCAAAGCGAAGATGTCGGGGGCAGTAAACCCGCTGTGGAGGCCAAGGGGGGTGGATCTGAAAGCGATGAAGAGCAGTCAAAGTGGAAGAATCGTTCCTATGGAAAAGTAGAAGGGTTTTGGTCCAAGGACCAGTCGCAATGGAAAAATGCCTCCGAGCTGGAGGAGAGCCTGGCCAGCGAGCAGATGGAGTGGCAGAGCAGCACAATGGACAGCGAGGACGGCGAGGCCTTCGGGGCCGTGGGGGCCGAGCCCATGCACGGCAGCCTGCCCGGGGTGGAGCTCAGCAGCCAGCAGGCGTGAGCAGCCCTGGGCCTGGCACTGCCCGGGCACCGCTGCCCTGCCAGCTGCTGCTGCCCTGGCACTGCCCGGGCACCGCTGCCCTGCCAGCTGCTCCTGCTGCCCTGGCACTGCCCGGGCGCCGCTGCCCTGCCAGCTGCTGCTGCCCTGGCACTGCCCGGGCACCGCTGCCCTGCCAGCTGCTCCTGCTGCCCTGGCACTGCCTGGGCACCGCTGCCCTGCCAGCTGCTCCTGCTGCCCGGGCTCATGTATAGATCTGCTGGCCCAGGGGCTGGGGGCTCCTGCTGGCACGAGCACAGTAACTTCATGTGAAAATGGATATGCTGGTGGCTCCAGAATGCACACAGAGAAAAGCAGAGGATTATTTTATCTGCATTTCCAGCCCTCCGTTCACCCTGTCCACGTTGAGTTGTGTCTTTCCAAGGGCCCCTCTCCGGTAGCGCCGTGCCAGCCACCCGGTGCCCTGTATAGCAGACTCTGGGCAAATGGAGTTTTCATGTATCATTCTGAATAGTTGAAATGTATATTTGTACAGTCTTTTAGACCTATTCAAGTGAAGCTTATGGAACTGTTCTTGTGTACCCATCATAGATCTGTTTCTCTTTTTTAGTGTTGCCCTGCTGTGTAATAAATGCTGTATCTAGTTTCCCTAGCAAAGCTTGAGACTGCTCTAGTATGAATTTTGACAGACTTAGTTTTTGCACATAACCTTGTACAATCTCCAACCAGAGGCCAGCAACATAAAAATATATCTGGGCTCTGTTGTATTATAGAATTTTCTTGTTCTGAATATCCTTGACATGACAACTGATGACAAACATATTTCAGAGCCATTTTCTGAAATCTTTTAAGCTAAAAAAGAAAAATCACATGCAAGAAACAAGTTTGCAGCTACTAATTTTGACACCTTTTAGATCTGTATAAAAGTGTATTGTGTTGAAGCAGCACACTGAGACAAAGTGCTGGGTTTGGATATTTAGTTTTATCTTTAGTTAACACCAACAAGGTGTTGTATTCATTTATACCATCTAATATATGACACACTGTTGTAGTATGTATAATTTTGTGATCTTTATTTCCCTTTGTATTCTTCATTTAAGCATCTAAATAAATTGCTGTATTGTGCTTAATGTAAATATTTGCTTTATTACGTGCAAGCGCTCCATTCCTGGTTGGTAAATCCAACCTCACTATATTCATTCCTCCTTTTTTGCCTCTGTTTTTCCAAGTGCTCCCCAGCCCTGCTGGGCCCTCTCTGTTTAGTACTTACTGAATACTTATCTCCTTCAAGGTTATTGAGAATCTGCAGAGTAACTTGGGCTGAAATGTGTTGTTCCTGTTCAGTGCTGTAGAACACAGTTATAAATAGCATTGTACTGGTTTGCTTGTTCTGCATCCTGGGGAAGGGAGGTCTGTGAATTCCTCAATGAATGGAGATCTGATTTCACCTGGAAAATCCTCCCCTGAGTGTGCAGAGCACTGGGCAGGAGGGCAGGGCTTTGGAATACTGACCCTTCCCACAAGGGGAGCACAAGCCTGGATGGTAAAGTAAATTGGACACCAGAAAAACTGAAATGGAGCTTGTTCAAAGCTGAGCTTGGTTTGGCCAGGCCAGGCCAGGCCTGCAGTGTGGCCTCTGGGCAGGGACCTGAGGGGATTCACTGAGATGCTGCTGTGATGAGATAAGAACTCTGTGCAGTGGGGAAGTGCAGCAGCCTTTACCTGTTTAGCAATGACACAAACAACTTTTTATCCTGTTATCAATGTGCATCACACTTGTCTCAGTAGCTGCTAAGGTAGTGTTAATGTTAGCAAACTTTCTAGTTAAAAATCAGATTGCAGCGTTCTGAAGTCCTGGGTGTAGTCAGTGAAAAGTGAGACTGAAATATGAACTCTTTAGTAGTGTTTCATTTGCCAGAAAATTCCAGGAAATACTATTTTATACGGTGATTAAATTAAAGGTCTTTACGCAACCATTCTCTTACCAGGATATCAAGAAAGATGGAGGGTGGTTATTTAAAGTCTTGGCATAAACTTTCTAGTATTTCAAACCAGTTACTCTTCAAATCTGGCTTTGAGGCTGTTCACTGATTCCTCTCCAGATCTGAGGCTAACCACACTTTTGAGGAAGTCAGAAAGGGGAAGAAAATACTGAGTAAAACTGGAAGGACCTTAACCCGATGTGTGTCATTTAGGATGTGGTACCATGAATTGTATGGGCTGGAAGTTACCCGTGTTTCACAGCCCCTCTGCAGTCATGGGCAGATCCCAGCTCCTCCTGGGGCAGATCCCAGCCTTTCCCAGCCCCTCCTGGGGCAGATCCCAGCTCCTCCTGGGGCAGATCCCAGCCTTTCCCAGCCCCTCCTGGGGCAGATCCCAGCTCCTCCTGGGGCAGATCCCAGCCTTTCCCAGCCCCTCCTGGGGCAGATCCCAGCTCCTCCTGGGGCAGATCCCAGCCTTTCCCAGCCCCTCCTGGGGCAGATCCCAGCTCCTCCTGGGGCAGATCCCAGCCTTTCCCAGCCCCTCCTGGGGCAGATCCCAGCCTTTCCCAGCTCCTCCTGGGGCACATCCCAGCCTTTCCCAGCTCCTCCTGGGGCAGATCCCAGCCTTTCCCAGCTCCTCCTGGGGCACATCCCAGCCTTTCCCAGCTCCTCCTGGGGCAGATCCCAGCCTTTCCCAGCCCCTCTGCAGTCCTGGCAGATCCCCAGCCTTTCCCAGCCCCTCCTGGGGCAGATCCCAGCCTTTCCCGGCCCCTCCTGGGGCAGATCCCAGCCTTTCCCAGCCCCTCCTGGGGCCAGATCCCAGCTCCTCCTGGGGCAGATCCCAGCCCCTCCTGGGGCAGATCCCAGCTCCTCCTGGGGCAGATCCCAGCCTTTCCCGGCCCCTCCTGGGGCAGATCCCAGCTCCTCCTGGGGCAGATCCCAGCCTTTCCCAGCTCCTCCTGGGGCAGATCCCAGCTCCTCCTGGGGCAGATCCCAGCCTTTCCCAGCCCCTCCTGGGGCAGATCCCAGCTCCTCCTGGGGCAGATCCCAGCCTTTCCCAGCCCCTCCTGGGGCAGATCCCCAGCCTTTCCCAGCCCATCCCGGCTCGCAGGGAGCAGCTCCAGCTGCCCCCGGCCCTGCGCTGGCTCCGGGAGCCCCCCGGGGTTGGGGCTGTGGCTGCGGGCTCGGGCAGAGCCGAGGTGCCGGAGCCCCCGGGTTGGTGCCGGAGCCCCCCGGGTTGGTGCCGGAGCCCCCCGGGTTGGTGCCGGAGCCCCCGGGTTGGTGCCGGAGCCCCCCGGGTTGGGGCTGTGGCTGCGGGCCAAGGCAGAGCCGAGGTGCCGGAGCCCCCCGGGTTGGTGCCGGAGCCCCCGGGTTGGTGCCGGAGCCCCCCGGGTTGGTGCCGGAGCCCCCCGGGTTGGTGCCGGAGCCCCCGGGTTGGTGCCGGAGCCCCCCGGGTTGGGGCTGTGGCTGCGGGCCAAGGCAGAGCCGAGGTGCCGGAGCCCCCCGGGTTGGTGCCGGAGCCCCCGGGTTGGTGCCGGAGCCCCCCGGGTTGGTGCCGGAGCCCCCCGGGTTGGGGCTGTGGCTGCGGGCCAAGGCAGAGCCGAGGTGCCGGAGCCCCCCGGGTTGGGGCTGTGGCTGCGGGCTCGGGCAGAGCCGAGGTGCCGGAGCCCCCCGGGTTGGTGCCGGAGCCCCCGGGTTGGTGCCGGAGCCCCCCGGGTTGGGGCTGTGGCTGCGGGCTCGGGCAGAGCCGCGGTGCCGGAGCCCCGCTCCTGCCCTGCGCTGCCGTGCTCCAGCCCGGGCCCTTTCCTGCCTGTTCCTGCTGCTCCTCCCTCCCTGCCTGCCCCGTTGCCGAGGCACAGCCCCGAGCAGGGATGTCCCGGCAGGCAGGGACGCACCGGCAGCTCTGAGAGCTCCTGCTCTGGCCCTGAATCACGGCAGCTCTGAGAGCTCCTGCTCTGGCCCTGAATCACGGCAGCTCTGAGAGCTCCTGCTCTGGCCCTGAATCACGCCCCAAAGCCGCCCTTCCCCTCAGCACCCTCCTGCAGGGCCGTGGCTGGATCCTTCCCCTCCTCTGGGACTGCCGCTCCATCAAACCATGTCTGATGTCGGCTGTGCAGCGCAGGTTCATTGCTCCAGCTCTGACCCTCGCTGAAATCAGCTCCAGTGCTGCTGCTGTCCCTCTGTCCCGCAGTCACAGCTCCCCAACAGCAACTCACCAGTCAGGACTTGGACCTTTGACACGTATTTTCATGGCAAACCTGAATATTCACCCAGGAAAATAGGAAAATTTTACAGGAAAATTCTCTTATTCTTGCCACTAAGAAATAGGCAGGTTTCAAATACTCCCTAGTACAGTTATAGGAAAGTTTCCCATTGTGTAGAACACATTTCACACAGCTGTGGTAGGAAAACAAATTAATTTCCATTTTAGTCAGAACCAAAAGATTTCAGGAATATGTCATGTGCTTTGTCTCTCCAGTTTTGTTAATAAAGAAGCTGATATTTGCATAAGCAGGTTGGTAGAACTGGGAGTATTTTGTTCCTTTTATAAGTGATTTGTCTCTCTGTAACCCCAGCTCGTTTGTGATGATCCATTACACGAACCTGCATTGCAGGGGCAGAGGCAGCCACTCGCTCTTGTCTCTATTGCTTTATATTTTAATTTGACTTTATCTTTCATCATCAGTCCCACTAATAAATATGAAAAGGTTGTGTTCATTTATTTCTGCATCAGAAGAGCTTTGGTCTCCATGGTTACAGCCATGCAGCTTTACTTTCACCATAAGCTTGGTGCTTTTTTCCCTTTACAGACTTTGCAGTGGGTTCTCCATCTTGCGCTTTTCCACATGCATTTTTAAAACAAGCATTTTTTCCATTTCTCCACATTGTACTTGATGCGAAGCCAATAATCTAAAAGGTACATCCCCTCCTCTCTTCCCTATTCAAAGAACTAGGGGTGTTTAATGTTCCTGGGGCTCTTTTGAAGTAAAAACCTTTAAAATGCTACAGGTGCAAGGATGGGCTGTGCTGCTGGTGGTCCTGGCTGAATCACACCTAACTGCAAAATGG